CAGAGGAGGAACTAAATATAATATTGACTGGAAAGACGAAGAAAGGAATATACATTATGCTGACATTATAGAATAAGGAAGAAATAAATTTATATTTATTTATAAATTTAATTTATATGGATACAATTTCCTAGAAATCTCCAAAAGGACTGAAATCACTGTCTACCTTTAAAAAGGGAAATGAATGCACTCTCAATATTTTTGGATTAAACAAAGATTTTTTTTTATGGCATATCCTTGTTTGTGTTAGTTACTTTTGTCATCCCTGTAACAAAATGCCTAACAAAAAGCAACTTAAGGAAGGAATGTTTGTTTTGGCTTGTAGTTTAAGGATACAGTCCATCACGGAGGTGAGGCATGGCAGCAGGAGCTTGAAGCAGCTGGTCACACAGTCTGAACTTGACACAGAGTGATGGATGCTGGTGCTCGTCTTGTGTTCTCTTTTTGATATAGTCTGGACCACACTCTGTGCAATGGTGCTGCCCACAATTAGGGCGGGTCTTCTTACCTCGATTAACCCAGTCTAAAACTCCCTCACCGACATGCCCAGAGGTTTGTCTTCTAGGTGATTCTAGAAATGTTAAGTTGACAATATTAACTATCACAATCTTTTTGGACTTTTCGGATTTTGAATTATGTGATTATATTATGTAGTAAATATTTTTCAAAAAAATACTTCATAAATAGCTTTTCTTGTCAGGAAAAGTAGTTTTTTAGATTGCTAACCAATATTGTCTTGTATTGATTTAACATATTTAACTGACTCACTACTGATGAAAACGTAAGAATGCTTTCAACTTTTTGTGGTTGTAAACATTCTTTTTTAAAAATATTTTGTTACTTTCATTTTATGTGTATGAGTGTATTGCCCGCGTGTATGTAAGTGCACCTTGTCCTGCAATGCCCATGGACAGAAGAAGGCGTCGGATTCTCCCCAGAACTGGAGTTACAGATGGTTGTGGGTGCTAGGAATCACACCCAGATCCTTTGCCAGAGCAGTCAGGGCTCTTACCTGTTGAGCCATCTCTCCAGCTGAGTTGTAAACATTCTTGTGGTAAGTATCCTTGGATATTTTTTTGCACACATGCAAATATTTTCAAGTAGAAAATCTTAGAATATTGATAAATTAATTTTGATTGCTATAGCTCTTTGAATATTTAGCTCATCTTTTTATTATTACTTGTAACAATTTATTGAATATTAGGAAGTTCAGAGGTCTCAGACATTCTAGATTTTAGCTGCCCCAAACACTTTTCCCTTCTCCAGTTTTCAATTCTAGAACAATTTTCTTGTGGAGAATTTATTTCCTGTGTTTTAAAAGAGACCAGTTCTGCCCTTTCTAGTTCCAGTAATGGGCCCGTGACTAAAAAGTGGTCAAATGTAGTGATCCATCTAGGAAGTGATCGCTATTTGCTAGTATGTGGACATGTGACTCTAGGTGAGCTAATGGAAGTCATTCTTAATATGCTTCACATCAACAATTGGGGTAAATGATGTGTTTTTCTCCGAGGTTCCTAAGATTCTAGGATATGAACTTGGAATTATCCGGGGCCATCCTTGCCTGGGTGCTCTAGTTAGCTTGCTGTCTTGTCAACTTGACACAGCCTACAGTCACCTGAGAGGAAAGCCTCAACTGAGAATTCTCTAGATCATATTGGCCTGTGGCTATGTCTGTGGAGGACTGCCTTCTTAATTGATGTAGGAGGGCCCAGCTCACTGTGGACAGTACCATCCCCTGGGCAGGTGGTCGTAGGTGTGAGTCTGAGTGAGCAAGCCCTCAAGCAGTATTCATTTAAGGTTACTGCTGTATTTCCTTAGTGTGAATGAGTCCTCAGGTTATTCATGAAATAGTAAGCAGTCAAGCCTTCAGGTTCCTGCCTTGAGTTCCTGCCGTGACCTCCCTCCATGAGGGACTATGACCTGGAAGTGTAAGCCAAATAAACTCTTTGCTCCTCAAGTTGCTTTTGGTCAGAGTGTTTTTATCACAGCAACAGGAAGGAAACTAGAGCACCAGGAATAAGACAAACTTAAAAGTATTGCTAAGAGACAGATAGGTGCTGGGATGGGCCAACAGGAAAATAGATAATAACTTGATAACACAGTATGAGTTCTGAATCATCTTGCCTGCAGATACACTCACAAAGCAATACATTTCTCTGTGTTGCTTTAATGGATTCTATGGGTTCCTGTCATTTCGAATCAAGAGTTAATGGCCTGTGTTTTTGTTGGTTATCTATAAATGTTATAGCTCACCGTGCTGCTTGTCTTGTAGCTTTATGTTTGATGGTAGGTTTTGCCTATACAGATTTTTTTTTCTTGAAGTGCTGGGAATTAAACCCAGTGCCTCATGCATGGTAGGCAAACTGTATCACTGAACTAAGTTTATAAAGTCCCTATATATTTCCCAAAATTTATAAATCTTTAGAACTTTAGGTCTAAAATTAGAAACTGATTTTTGATGGGGTGTGAAACAGATACTCTCATTTTTAAGACCTATAACACATTATATAAATGTTATAAGGACATGCACATGGCAAAGGATTATTTCTGGCTTTTAGAAGGTATTGGCATTACAAAGGAGACATATTTCATCGATTTAGTTGTATATTTTAATATTTATATAATAAATATGTCTGAAACATTATGA